ATACTGAGAAAGTCTTTTCTACACAGAAACTATTCTAAAAGAGCAACCAAAAATCCTTAACATTTATAAATCTAAAATTTGTTTGCAAATCTAAAGCGTAAACGGCTGTGAAAATTCAGGAAAGCAAAGACGCATTAAACTAAACCAAAATCAATGACACTTCCCAGTCCTAATATTTCAAAAACAAAACTTTGCAAGCCAGGTCTAGACGGGTTTGTTAAACATCTGGATCCCTTTACCGCGCGTAACGTAATTTTTTTCTTAATAAAATCACATGAAACGTTTTTCAAAAGCATGTGAACTGTTAAAGTTAAACGTTTATGGAAGTAGATATGCTGAGACATTCTCAACTGAGAGACTGTAGCTAAAAGAAGCTAAAGAATATTAAAAATAATTAAAATAAAAGCCTTTTCGCCAAACAGCTAATCATTTTGTTCGTTTCGTAGCATCCTATGCTAATTCACAAGAGTAACTCGAAGTTCACGACATTTGTCAGTTTCAAAAAAAATAATACTAGATGACCTGAATACTCTTTAAAAAAAACTAGTTGATATATATAATGTTACCAACAACAAAAAAAGCACAGATAGAGAAGAAAATACACTTACTTGTTAAAATGAACTTCACCCAAGCGACGTTTAGCTGAAAATAGAGAGCGCAAGTGATTGTCTTCTTATTTTTGCATTGCTTGATTGAATTTGGTTTCCTAATGCATAATTAATTTCACACTTAAAATTAAAACGCCCCCAAATAAAAAACAATCTTTCCAGATTATAGCAGAACTTCCCTTTTGTGATTGGCTATATCTGCAAAACGTAATTTTAGTACCCGGTGTTTCACTTTGAAAGTTTTTTCAATTGTTTGTGTCTCATTGTGTCTTCTGGAAATTGACACGAGAACCGCCGATAATTCACATGGCACATTGCATTGCTTTGTTTTTGTCAACGATTACCAGATCGTTTAGTTCTAGCCTGCGTAGCTGGCGGTATTATGTGGGTGGGAGATTAAAGTTTTGGCGGCGGAGCCGTGTTCCAAAAAAAAGGAGTAGGGACGAGGCGGTTGAAATACCGCCTGCCAGAAAACCCCGGTATTTTGAATGGTCCGCACACCAGTGTGCGGGGAAACGGATTGGTCGAGGGCCATACATATGTCAATCATGTTAGATGAGCCTTCGCGTATATTTCCCAATTTAGGGAGCAGATGGCAAACTGGAGAAGACGTACATGTAAAGTGATTGTGATTTCCGCTTTAGAAAGAGCATAATTGATGACCAAATTGCCGAAATGGCGTCTTTAAACTTCACAGCGCTGGAATTGTCTTAATTTAGCCGTAAGAAACAAAGGTCAAAGAAAATTAAAACACTTTACAACTGCATCTGAGATCAAATCCTATCAGGAACACCTACAGAAGAATAAACCACCGGAAATGGTTACTCAGTATGCATGTAACAAACCAGCTTCATGACCTTTTAATGTTAAGCCTAGTGTTGCAAAAAAAGATTTACTCAGTCAAAGTTTAGAATGATACATGCACTGTGTAGTGCTAGTAACCTTCGAGCGAGAGCCGAGAAAATAAAAAAAACTTCTGTTCAAGCAAACTCACAAAGTCACGTTTCACATTGTCACGAGCTTAGGAGTCGTGTTTAGCCTGTCAACGCTTATTTCTAAACTGTCTCGCGTGAAAATAATCGGAAGTTTCAAATTGCAGGTTTCTCTTTGATTGGCTGATTTAATTGCGATTAGCTAACGTGACAAAAGTGGGCGGGCATTCGAAAAATCATGGTTCTCTGGCAGGCGGTATTTCTCGCGGCTTCGCCGCTCGTGACGGCTCCGCCGTCAAATCTCACTCGACTATATTGCAACGGCTCCGCCGCCAAATCTCACTCGACTACTACACAATACCGCCAGCTACGCAGGCTAGTTTAGTTCATAATCTAGTCAACGTTCATATGAATACTATTTCGTAACTCTATTGATAACCTACATGACGCTCTTTTGGCATGAAAACAAGATGCTAATTAAGTGGTTGGTCTATATAGGTTTGCTTTAAGTGATACTATGGGAGAACGACTGGCCAAGCTATTTGAAGAAAAATCGATACCAGGATCCTAACTAGTGGTGCTGGCTGATCGATGGTTGTCATATAATCAGAAGGTTGCCTTTTGTTTCGTCTACTTAACGTACTGTGATTTTGGCAAAGAGAGCCAGCCTGGCTAATGTAATCGGTTTCTAAGGCTTATGTCTTACACTGGATAGCTCTTGCGCATGTACCGGCGCGAAAAACCATATTGGATAGCGAAGGGTTTTTGTTTTCACATAAAAAGGGTGATTTCCGCGCGGTTACTGCAACAGAGGAAAGCTCGCTCGGCCGATCTTGAAATTGGATTGTCGGACATGTTTCTGTGCGAATATTTCGGTAGTGTGAACACAGTGAATGATTATGAGCAAGGACTGGAACCAGCTGACACGGAAATTAATATTCAGGGTGAAGATTAGGGTTTAGTGCATCATACCTTCTTAGCCAACCGTTAGGTTACGATGCTCGATGTGACAAAAACTGTGAAAGACTTGCTCCAGTTCTGGGCCGCTCCTTTTTATTTCATGCCGACATGAACAGCCATCCTGTATATTGTAGACAGTCTAAAACTTGATCTTAAATTCAATCGTGCTCCAGTTAAGTTAATCTCAGTGATAATTCTAAACTGCGACGACATTCTCAGGATCACGACACTAGGCCTAGTTCAAGTCATATTAGAAAAATATACCAGTGACCAAAATCAATTTAATTTCAAATTGTAATATATGCGAGGTCTCTACAGTAACAAATACTGAGAAAGTCTTTTCTACACAGAAACTATTCTAAAAGAGCAACCAAAAATCCTTAACATTTATAAATCTAAAATTTGTTTGCAAATCTAAAGCGTAAACGGCTGTGAAAATTCAGGAAAGCAAAGACGCATTAAACTAAACCAAAATCAATGACACTTCCCAGTCCTAATATTTCAAATACAAAACTTTGCAAGCCAGGTCTAGACGGGTTTGTTAAACATCTGGATCCCTTTACCGCGCGTAACGTAATTTTTTTCTTAATAAAATCACATGAAACGTTTTTCAAAAGCATGTGAACTGTTAAAGTTAAACGTTTATGGAAGTAGATATGCTGAGACATTCTCAACTGAGAGACTGTAGCTAAAAGAAGCTAAAGAATATTAAAAATAATTAAAATAAAAGCCTTTTCGCCAAACAGCTAATCATTTTGTTCGTTTCGTAGCATCCTATGCTAATTCACAAGAGTAACTCGAAGTTCACGACATTTGTCAGTTTCAAAAAAAATAATACTAGATGACCTGAATACTCTTTAAAAAAAACTAGTTGATATATATAATGTTACCAACAACAAAAAAAGCACAGATAGAGAAGAAAATACACTTACTTGTTAAAATGAACTTCACCCAAGCGACGTTTAGCTGAAAATAGAGAGCGCAAGTGATTGTCTTCTTATTTTTGCATTGCTTGATTGAATTTGGTTTCCTAATGCATAATTAATTTCACACTTAAAATTAAAACGCCCCCAAATAAAAAACAATCTTTCCAGATTATAGCAGAACTTCCCTTTTGTGATTGGCTATATCTGCAAAACGTAATTTTAGTACCCGGTGTTTCACTTTCAAAGTTTTTTCAATTGTTTGTGTCTCATTGTGTCTTCTGGAAATTGACACGAGAACCGCCGATAATTCACATGGCACATTGCATTGCTTTGTTTTTGTCAACGATTACCAGATCGTTTAGTTCTAGCCTGCGTAGCTGGCGGTATTATGTGGGTGGGAGATTAAAGTTTTGGCGGCGGAGCCGTGTTCCAAAAAAAAGGAGTAGGGACGAGGCGGTTGAAATACCGCCTGCCAGAAAACCCCGGTATTTTGAATGGTCCCCACACCAGTGTGCGGGGAAACGGATTGGTCGAGGGCCATACATATGTCAATCATGTTAGATGAGCCTTCGCGTATATTTCCCAATTTAGGGAGCAGATGGCAAACTGGAGAAGACGTACATGTAAAGTGATTGTGATTTCCGCTTTAGAAAGAGCATAATTTATGACCAAATTGCCGAAATGGCGTCTTTAAACTTCACAGCGCTGGAATTGTCTTAATTTAGCCGTAAGAAACAAAGGTCAAAGAAAATTAAAACACTTTACAACTGCATCTGAGATCAAATCCTATCAGGAACACCTACAGAAGAATAAACCACCGGAAATGGTTACTCAGTATGCATGTAACAAACCAGCTTCATGACCTTTTAATGTTAAGCCTAGTGTTGCAAAAAAAGATTTACTCAGTCAAAGTTTAGAATGATACATGCACTGTGTAGTGCTAGTAACCTTCGAGCGAGAGCCGAGAAAAT